AAAAAAAAAAAATTTGGAATAGCATACAATCAGGCTAGGAGGCTAGGGGCGACTTTGGACCAATTTTAAAAGGGCACGAAGACTCATTGTTTGAACAGCTAGTCTGCAGTCTGTCTCATACGTAAACAGATTCTCTTATCACCATCTCCACATTTGTGGGTTTTGTAATATTTTTGCCCACTACATCTACTGTGGTCTCTACTGATCTGTTTCTGAACATGATGATTTCTTTTGTAACCATAGAACTAATTCACTTCATCCAAAGAGTAGACTCAATTTTGTACATTGCAAGTTGTAACCATAATCATGTTATTTATATCCAACTGTGTATCTTTTTATAGACTGATTTGTATATTTATGTCAATATACATAATTGTGAAAGTGGATTTGTGTCACGACGCGATAGAATCAAGCGCTCGTCAATTTTGGAGCGTTTGGAGTTATTGGTGTCACCTTAAGGCTTGTTCATTTGTGTTGCTTTCAATGAAAAAAATACCCATCCACCTTGAATAGAAGTCAAGATATTTACGATTGAAGGAGGTGGGGGTAGTCTGGTTTCAGAGGTAAAATAAGCGAGAAAATGGCTGCCAAAGCTTGGTTATTTCATAAGCTTATGAGTTTATGGAAATGGAAAATTTACATTTTCTTGCTCCCTTTAATCAACACTTTTCAGTAAAATCCAAACAGAAATGTGTTCTTACATAGACATATGAATATTATGAATGATAAAAGGTGTTGAGCCAAAAAATGAAAATTCTGTAAAAAGTGCCAAAAATCGGCGATATAATGCAAGTTTCTTAGATTTCAGTATTTTGACGAGCGCCTGATTTCACCACCCTACCTCACCTTTGTATCCGTGTAGGAGTATGTTCGAGCAGTGTGTAACTTTTTGATACATGTAAAGGTTTTTATTCCTTCTTGATTGTGCATGTGTTTGACATACAAGTGATTTTTTAAAATTGTGATGCATATTGAGCACCTTGTGGAAATTGAAATTGTAAAATTGGCAATATAAATGCAATTAATCATTATTGTTATCTATCTTGAGGGTGGGATTGGGAAAGGAAAAGTGTGAGTGTGGGGGGAGGGGGGAGGTGTGCATTTGTCTAAATTCTTTTTTTTCTCCTTTTCCGGTGTATTTCTTCTCAACCCAAAGGCCTGATGTGTCCCTGACTACTACACCCAGCTCTAGCCCAAAACGCTTTGTCTTTGGGACAGAGGCTTCATTCTGGTGTTTTCATTTGCAAACAGTTATGTTCCTTTTTTTAAATTGTAGGTGTATTTTAGAATTCTTTTTTAGGAACTGCTCCTGAGCAAAGACAATTGGGCAGTCTATCTAAAAACATTTTTTTCTTTTCTTTTTTTCCACAGTATGATTTTGTTCCTGAAGACTATGACTATCTCCAATGTGGTGTTCAAACATTTAATGTGAGGCGAAAGCCAGCAGTAAATGTGGACTTGGATATTTTCCTGACAGAGTCAGATTTTGAGCATCAATTTGTCAATGCTGTGAAGGTATGTTAGCCAGTGAAATATTCCTTTAGCAGTTTGACTTTCCCAGTTATTGTATTGTCTGTGGGAGCATGCATTATCCTTATAACCCACATTGCCAAGCGCTCATATGACCTTATGCAGCTGCGAGTGCGTAAAACCTTACTAAAACAAAAAACCACATTGCGAAAAGGTTTTAGATTCTGAGCTTTTATTCTTTAGAGAGGAGAGACAAAGGAATTGGTGTGCATTGCAAGAAATTCTGACCTGCGTCATGTGAAACTAATGTATGCGAACTAAGTTGTTACATTTGATAACAGATTCCAGAAATAGACAGAGATGGTGATTATAGCATGAAGGGACTTAAGTTAAAAATGCAACTTAGATTGAGAGGGCCATGTTTCAGTCACACCCTATTTTAAAGTGTGCGATCAATTTTGCGTGCAGTAATACTCAAATGATACTTTTATCTGCTTAAACTTGAACTGTATTCCTTAGCTCTGTGTCTTTCAAATGACCAGCTGAGCTATGTTCATAAATAGTCCTAACATAGTTTGTTATTTCTAAAATTTTAGCACAAAATAAGATATGTATTGAAATTTTTACTGCTGATAAAATCTTTTCAGATGTTATTAATGGACTTAAATTTTTCAGAATGGTGATCAGGAAGAAGTGAAAAAGCTTTTAGTTCCCCTGCTGGAGCATGGAGGAGAGTCCAGATTTAGCTGTGTTCTCTTTGACTGCCTTGACAAGGGCTACTTTGACCTAGCCAGCTTCCTGGTGGAGGCAGGGTTTGATATTGATATTTCCAAACAGGTACCCATTCTTGATTGCAACACATAGCAGAGCCTTCATTTAAGCAGTAAAAATTACATCTTTTTGCTGAGGCATAGTTTTTTTCATCTTGATCAATGTAATGTTAGTCAACTGTAGAAGAGGAGTGGGAAGAGAGAGAATGAGAGAGAGAGAGAGAGAGACAAGACAGACACAGACAGACAGACAGACCAACAGACAGACAGACAGACAGACAGACAGACAGAGAGAAAAGGAAAGAAAGAGAAAGAGAGTTTGGTGGTCTATGTGTGTACGACAGGGTATAAAAAAAAAATGAGACTGTAGCATTTCCCCAACACGTACTTGCATTGTGATTTATCTTATTGGGACACCTTCTTCCTCCTCCTCCCCCTCCTCCTCCTCCCCAGTATGAGGTGTGTGACCCTGACGACCCCATGTGTGCCATGATGGAGTGTGGCCACGCCTCCACCACCTTCAAGCAGCGGGCAGAGGAGCTGGGAGCGACCTCTCTAGTCAGACTCATAGACTCCATCTCCTTGGCACCAACACGGACGGCTGTCCACACCTCAAGCTGGTGAATTATCTTCTTGTTGATCATATTCTCTATAAAAGCACTTTGTCCACTTTCTGTTCAGATGTACTAAGCTCAGACCCTGAGTATTTTCTATTATATATACATATTGCAGTTTAATTGTTCTGTCTACTTCCCCTTTTCACTCACACACACACACACATATATATATATATATTCAGTGGAATCCTGTTATAACGAGAAGGATGGGACCTATGCGAAATGTCCATTATAGCAGGATTTTCGTTATACGGGTTGCAGTAATAAATTCAACGGAAATAATAAAGTAGGCCTCATCTATGAGTTTGGTGTTCTGTTTATTTCTTTTTGTTATCTCCTCTGGTGATGATTCTGTGCAACATGACCTCTAACTCTAGGTCTTACTTGATCAAAAATCGAATCAGGTTTCTTTCTTTAGCGCTAGCGATGTTGACAGCTCGGCGTTGGCAATCAGAAAGAAAGGGCTCTAGGGTAACTCGCCCGCTGTGTTGTCCACTACCCCACCACACCCTGTGGTGCGTTCCGTCCGTCTGCTTGCGCTTGTCACACATTCACTCAGTCCATCACAGCATTGTGACCTCTCCGTCCCTGCATCGGAGAAGTGACAGGCATGGTAGGCCTAGGCCTAGATAATTTAGACTAGGCTGGCCTATCACGCGATGCGTTCTGCTTGTCAGCGCATGCCACACCCTCCACACTCATTCGCTCCAGCCTTTATTGTTGGCACACGTGGGCTCTCCTATTCATTGTTTTGCTAGATCACCGAAAGTTATTTAACTAGCAAGGTTTTATAATATGTATAATTGGCCTGTGGGCTGCGCACAGCAGCAATATTTCGCTATAACCGACTCGCCTGTTTGTCTGATTGCAGTATTGTAGTATTTTATTTACAAAAATAAAGAAGGAAAAAAAACTGGGTTTTAGAAATATGTCTTTATAACAAACTTCTCGTTATTTCAGGACTCGTTATAAGTGGACTCCACTGTATATATATATATATATATATATATATATATATATATATACATATATATAGAGTAAGATACTGATACTGGTATTCACCCCAAAACAATTAGAAAGTAAAAACCATAATTTTAAAAAATGTGTTTTTAACCCTTTGAGCCCTTGCCACCGGTACACCGATGGCGCATAAAACTGTCCGTATACCTAGCCACAGGTACACCAGTGATTGAGACACCATCCCCAACCCAACCCGTCTAAGATAAAACACGTATGGAAATCAGTTTTTACTACACAGGACGTTATTGATTATTTTGAAGATCTTTCTTAATAAGATGCTGGTAGTGACTAGGACTACCCTGAGTGGGATATGGAATGTGATTCTGGCGATCATATTATGAATGTAAATAATATATCGCTTAAGAGCTCAAGCAGAGGGGCATGGTAGCCTTGGAAGGTCAAGGTTCAAAGGGTTAATGTTATATTTAAAAGAAAAAAAACAACTTTTTTGGGTCTTTTTGGAATTCTTTCTTTTAATTTTACTCCTGTACTTGGTCCATTATTTTCATCTTTACACAAGTTCACTCAGCGATTAATGTGCAAAAGTTTTTCCTCCTTTCATCTTCTCTAGCCCCAAGTTTGTCTTTAAGTAAAAAGAAATATTTACTTTGGACTTTTTAGAACCCAGCTGTACCCAAACCCAATGACTTTTCTTGATTCTCTCATTGATAAGAGACTAAGTTCTTTGCCTTCAAAATAAACTATCTTGTGTGTAGTTGGGTGTTAAATGTGAGCAATAACAAACAGCATCCTGTACTGTTATACTTTGTTGAAAGAATGCAGATTTTTTTATCCTCTTTTTTTTTTTCCTTTTGTATTTGCAGATTTCAAAAAGTGGAGACAGGAGAAGAGAAGTGGAAAGACCTAGATGACTCTGTGGTAGGCAGGGTTTGGTCTTGCAGACTTGATGTCAGTTGAAGACATACTAGGGGGTGAGGCTGTGACTGACAAAGGAGTTTCCTTGGGCATTTCTCTTTTATTGTTGGTGGCTAATAGCCTGATTTTACATAGTTGTTAAAAAATTTTCAGGAGAGGGTGAAAGTTATTATGCTTTCGTAACAAGTCTAATATCTTGTTTTCATTACTTTAGAAAAAAAAGGCTTGTTATGGACTTCTGATTTCTGGAGAAAAAGAAGAAAAGCTTTTTAGCCAAATTAAGGGTACTTGAATTTATTCGCAGCAGAGTGCGTATTACTTTATATAAATTCATGGAGGTTGATTTTCTCACCCAAGGTTGACAATTGTGTTTGTTCTCTATGTGAAAGACGCATTTTGTGATGGAGATCGATGCATTTATGTTTGTGTGATCTGAACTATGAATTGTTGTGTAAAAACTGATCGTTCATGAGATTGCTAAATTTCCTTGTTTGTCTACATTTTTGTTATTTCACCAAAGTAAAGTATTGGTTTTTTTAGGTCAGAAGGAGAAAGAACTGCTATTGTTTCCGAGGTCAGTGAAGATGTCGTCAGCATTTTTTGTGCAAATATCTGTGACCTTTCTTTTTTTTTTGCTTTTAAAAAAAAATCTTTCTGAGGTTGAGAACTATAGTTAACTCTTGTCCTGCATCTTGTGCTGAGATGCGAATCGTATCAGCAACCTATTACGTCGGACGTTCTGGGCAGGCCGCCGGAGTCACTCAGCGTGTACTGTTAGTGTACAGCGAGCGGCACTGGAGTGGTGTGTTTTTGCTGTGAATACCGAGAGGGTGTTTTAATCGATGGTGAAAATAACACTCTATCTTTTATAGCTTTCTATTTCTAAAGTGTGACGAACACATGAATAACCCCCTCTCATAAGCTGTTAAGACGTTACGAGTAGTTACGCCCATTTGAATAACCTTTTAAGATGCTGTTGTTGTTATGAATGATCTGGGGTTCGAAAGAGGATAATATAGGTCAATTTCGAATGTTTTGCTCATTAATTGTTCTTTTTACCTGCACAATGGTATTCAAAACTATCCAATAAGCTTATTTCTATCAGGTAATATCATTTCATATAAGATCAAGCTCATTTGAAAGATTTTGTACTGAAAAATGGAAGTCTTGTTTCCTGACTATCCTTTCGAGCGCCTCATGTCTAAGTGGGTCAATTTGTTCTAATTTCATTGGACGAACATCTAGAGCTACCGACTTGGAGTGTTTTGAATGAGACATATGCCTCGGTTACGAACCAACTCAGGCGGTTCAAGAAGTAGGCCTCAGACACGCACAAACTCAAGCAGACTGATGCATACACACTTGAGCTGTGGGAATACGTGATCCGGTCATAAAACATGTGCGCTTAGCCAGGGCCGGACTGACACGGGACCGGAACGAAGGCGAGGTGCGGAAATACGCTTATCGGGGAACATAAACCCGGCTCCCGCAGGACCAGGGTTAACGATCGTGTCAGATGCACCTACAATGTGATGAATGCAAGTCGAACATAGTACCACCATGGTGTTGTTTGACATTGAAATTTCTTGAGAACTATTAATATCATTAATTACAAATGAAGCTGTTCCCTGGGACGTATTATCTACACTCTTTTCTATGCTATTGTTTCTGTGTATGTTTATTATTTGTCCTCCTTTGGTCACAGGCAGTTCGTTAATGCTATGAGTGGTGACAATCATACTGGAGCCAGAGTTGATCCGCGCATTAATTTTTAAAAATTTTTTGAAAATTTATATAAATTGTAAAGCAATACAAAAAATTTACACTGGTGCCTAATAAAAATAATGTAAATCTACAGTTTGTGTACGGTATTTCAAAACTCTGAGCACAGCACACTGTCTACAAGATTGCATTTCCTTTAGTGCTGTGTCTTTCTGACGCCATTTTTATATTGTGTGGTCTGTTAATGGGTTAATTGCGTGCTGTTTAACGAATAGGCTCATAGCTTTGGCTTACAGAATCCTGAGTTGAAGTCATATATGAAGATGGGTTTTTTTAATCGAGTATTTCCATCTCTTTGCTAGGACATTACATCCTTTTTGGCCTGGATGGGCCCTGACAGGTAGGGTCGAAGTAGGCCACCTTCTAAATGATCCAATTTGTTTCAATAGGGATGTGAAATGTTTGCTAATACAGTTACAGTAATTGAGTCTGAGATCTGTGGTTCTGGTTTACCCAGACCCCTCCTGGTTGCCCTGTTTAACATTTGAAGACATGTTTCATACTCATGTCATAAATTGTCATCAATAACTTTGGCTTCTCGTCACAATTATTGTTTGAAATTTGAAGACTTGATTTCGTTTCTATAAAGGTTAAGTATCATGTAAGTCCTTGTTATCTTGCGTGCTTTGCTCATGGTCCTGCATAATTTTTGTTTTGATTTTGCATAAATGTAATATGTTTCTATTGTGATATTGTTGATGATTTTTAATGTCTTCAAGTGGAATAATGTTCACGAAAGTATGTGCTATGAGTGGTCATCCTCTGTACAGATGTGTTTGAGATTATCAGATTATCAACATTGATGTCATGGTGACACCCACGATGAATACTTTTGTGTAATGTTCAGCACAGTTCCAAACCCATGTATGTGTGTTCCTAGTTAAATTGCTCCTTAGACTATTTTGTTGCTTTCTATCATATGCTATTTGGTCATGTTAACAGCACATTGGTGACTCTAAAAAAAACAAAAACAAAGGGAAAAGAGATTGAGAGAGAGAGATCACATCAGTGTGAGATGCCATTTGTTGTCTTTAAAGACTCTACCATCTTTATTGCACCAGTTATTTAGGGTACCCGTAAAATCTGCCTGATAAAGCTCTGTGGCAAGAATGTATTTTTATCACTTTGGTCCAAGCCTCAGGATGCATCCCTTAGGTGCCAATGCTGCGATGTGGCTCTTTGTAGCTGTTGTTTAATGTTCACATCAAAGTTCATATTGGATGCTTGAAAAGGAGTTGTACTAAATATGTGACGCCCTTTGTGTATGTAAAGATTTGTTTTCTTACTGTGCTCTTTATAAACTCTGATTTAAAGAAATCTTTTGTCTATAAAGTTTGAAAAATATGTACGGTAAGCCCATAACACTACATCTGTTTAAGTTTGAAAGATTTTTTGCCTCGGCAATGTGAGTTTTTTAATTTTAGAAATGCTGGAGCCCAAAAGCTCCCAGTTAACTGGACAAACAGCAATGAATGTCATTGGATCAGAATAAATTAAAATGTTTTGGATCATCATCACCATTCCCTGCACATAGCCATCAACACTGTGTTCTTTGCTTTTGTAATGGGGAATGCATGTGGCATCCGATAGTTCCACAGATGACTTATTAGATGAGTTACGGTATTAAAATTAAGCTACATGGTTAGCAGAATCTCTTGTCTTTGTCCTCACTTGAAAAAAAAGAGTGTGACATCTCTAATACTGGTCATCACTTTAAAAAATAGTAATCCTGCCAAAGGTCATGTATAATTCGTCAAAATCTAGTCTGATGTCAAAGGTATTCTCTGTACATCTAAATCTAAAAGAATCGTACTTTATCATGTATTTGAGTCTCAGAAAATTATTTGCATTTATTTTCTTTCAGAAGTGTCAATGATGCACATTGTAACTTTTTCGTCCTGGATTGAGATGAAACCATATATTTATTTGGTGTGTGTCTCAATTTATTGATGAAATTCATACTGATGAAGAAGCAGCTTGAACTCACTGTGGTGAAGAGCTGTAAAAAGTTTGGGATAAAACATGCTCATCGGTTGTCACTGGGTTTGAGAGTGAAACATTCAAGGACAAATTCTGCCTCAATGGTCACGTTACAGATTTCTTGTTGTTGTTGGGGGGTCTTTCTGTATGTCTTTAGACTTCCAATCAGGAGTATGGGCTAGCATTTATAGTCCATAGTTTTCTTTGCTCTTTGGTCTTGTAAGTTTTATGTCACATGTTTTGTTGTAAGTAGTATAGCTGTTCATTCAAAAGATGAAATTATCTTTTCTGTTATGAGTTCTCCTTACCCATGACTTTACTACAAACATTATTTTACTTTTCCTCATTTTCTGTAAGTTTTGCTGTCATCTTTTTGCTGTTCAAGAACTGCATCTTGCCCATCCTTCACATCCTCATTAGTTTTTCTTTTGCAATATTATTATGATGATTCCCCTTGGGTACCAAGTCTCCACAACCTTCTATCTTTTCAAGTGTGTCCTTGTGTAATGCTGGCATTCACAGCCGGCCATGCCGGAGAACTGACACTACCAGATCACTTACAGCAGATTCTTGAGGAATTTTAAAGACATATCATGTACGTGCAGGGTAGAAATCGGATTGGATTTTATGTTGTTCTCCATTGAAGGTTTTAATTACGTACGTTCAATTCCCTAGTGGGGAGAGGGGTTTTTTTTGGTGTCTCCGTCAGACTGTTGGGACTTGTATCCTTCTTAGCCCAGGTTAGCCCTTACAGACAGGGTCAAAGCAGCTTGCTTCTTAGATGCTCCTAAACGTGGCGATGGAGCATAAATTATCTACAGTTACAATTACAATTTGTCCAGCCGGTATTCTGAACAGGGACCAAGCGCCCCTTAAAATTAGTTACTAAAATATGGTAATTGGGCGTAATATTTCACCTTTCAATCAAATGAAAGTATCTGTTTGCATGCCTTTATGGTATTTGATCTGTGTGCCTTTCTCATAATTAGTCAGACTGTGATGACTCTTTAAAAATTGGATCACTTTGTTTCTTCAGCGCAAAGTTTCTTATTAGAGATGTACATGTATATAAAATGTGAATGATTGGATATGTACAAAGAATACAGAAAAAAAAAGAGAATAAAATTATCAAAATTTTGCTTTGAGTTACTGATTTTTGTATTATGTTTTGTGTGACAACAAATATTTGAGAATTTTTTATGGTTTTTTTTTTTTGTTCTTAAATCTGTTGTTTAAATGTATGTTTACTTTTGTCGCCTTGATCGCTGCAAATTTTCAACCCCTTATTAGTGGGTGATTGGTGGGTGCTCTGGTGTGGTTTGCTTTTTCTTTCTTATCAAACATCTATCGTCATTATCTCCCCTCCATCTTTTTTGTGTTTGTTACTCTCCTGTAACATTTCTAATCTTTGGTACTTATATGACCTTGTTTTGTTGCAAGTTCTGTAAAACTCTTACTAAAACAAACAACCCCTTGTTAGGTTATTTA